CTTTCACCTGAAAAACATCTTAAATTAGGGGTTTCAGGTTACATAAATTAGTTAGTTCCCTGTTCAAACGTTTAAAATTCTATGTTTCCATTTTATTACACAACTTTTCAGTGCACACCTGCATTTTATTTATTGCACTAAATATTATGCACTTATAGGATGTTAAGTCTGATTGGAATTAGCCAGTCCAGAATCCTAATGTTACATTTCTCATTTCAAAATAGTTCAGAAGCATTTTTGATATATTTCATATAGAACCTTTAATCACATTTAATTTTTAAAGATCTATACTCTGAGGACTTTATTGGTTTTCTTCACCAATATTCCCTAGCCCTAGCACAGTTTCTGGCATAGAGTAGGCACTCAATACTTATTTATTTATCTCTGTTTTACTGACTCACACTCATTCACTTTTCCACTCTACTGAAGCTATTCTACCAAAACTGTTTTATGATCTTCTAGCTGTCATAGTTTCTGGTCTCTTTTGAGTCCTCAAATTTGATCATTTTCTTTCATAGAACTCTTTTCCCATTAACTTCTGAGTTGTCATTCTCTTATTTTCCATCTGCCTCTCTGACATATATGCAAATTCTAATCCATATTTCAGTGAAATTCAAACTCTTCCTAGCTTCAAAAATACGTCTTTAAAAAAAAAAAGGAAGGAAAAAAAAATACATCTTTTAACTGCCCATATGATGTTACCTCAATGGGACCTCAGACTTAGCATCTCCCAAACTAAATCTTTGTCTTTCCTGGCGAGCCTGCTTAAAGTATCCTCCTAAAGTACCCAGCTTGATGAAGCCTCTTTCCCTCTAGCTATCCAAGCAGAATTTAGAACATATATTAAACTACTTTTTTCTGCTTTTCTATCCCTTCAGTTGCGAAGATCCATCAGTTCTTCTTACTTAGCATTTTTGATACTCTCTTTCTCTTTTTTCTAACCTTTATTCCTATTGCTACTATCTTATTCCCCTTTTTTATCGAAAGTCTGTTTTCTGTCTTTCATCCTTTTTGCCTGGATTTTTTTGTTTACTTGTCTCTGAGTTGTTCATTCTGCCTCCAGTATCGAGTTGCTCCATCCTGTCATTCTCACTGCTGCCAGGGTTTTTAAAACAACAGATGTTACCACCTTAATTAAAACCCTTCAATGATTCCTTATTAGGTATAGGCTGAAACTCCAGAAGTATCAGTGTGATGTACACATTCGATGCTCTCCACCCACTGCTTGTATCTTACCCTGGCCTCTCTCTCTCAACCTTAAAACTCAGAGAGAAAAATATGTTTAACCCTTGTAGCTTGTCTTATAATAGGATGGTGGTGGTAGGGAATCACAGTAATCTTTGAGTTCAAGGAAAGGTGGACGATAGACAGACAGGGAAGGAATCAAGATCACGCTTGCCTCCCCACTGCCAGCTGTTGATCAGGCCTTCTGAGCTATAGTATGGCTGCATTTCTATACTTTGCCAGTAGGTGCCACCATAAAATGCACTCTATACTTTCACCTGAAAAACATCTTAAATTAGGGGTTTCAGGTTACATAAATTAGTTAGTTCCCTGTTCAAACGTTTAAAATTCTATGTTTCCATTTTATTACACAACTTTTCAGTGCACACCTGCATTTTATTTATTGCACTAAATATTATGCATTTATAGGATGTTAAGTCTGATTGGAATTAGCCAGTCCAGAATCCTAATGTTACATTTCTCATTTCAAAATAGTTCAGAAGCATTTTTGATATATTTCATATAGAACCTTTAATCACATTTAATTTTTAAAGATCTAATTTACTATGGCAAATAGTTACCAAATTCTTAAAGATGTTAGGGAAAAGACAAGTCATTCAATATAGTAAGTGAAAGAAAGTGAAGTCACTCCATCGTGTCCGACCCTTTGCGATCCCATGGACTGTAACCTACCAGGTTCCTCTGTCTATGGGATTTTCCAGGCAAGAATATTGAGGTGGGTTGCCATTTCCTTCTCTATTCTATATAGTAAAGATAGTCAATAATTACAGTAAAATATTGCCAATTATTTGTATTATTGCTTATTATCCTCTTCCAGTCACTATGTTTTGATTCAATCTTAAGGATTTAGTTGTGTTTTTCCTTACTTGCTTCATTTTTATGTTTCTGCTTCAGGGCCTTAATGTGATGCATTTAGTAGTCAGGAACTTTAGTTTCTTTCTTTCTCACCCACATTCTTCCAGTGTAGTAATTTCTTCTGAGGTGCTTTCCTGAAGACCCCCTTCTTTCTTACCTCCCCACTTAAATTACTGCTATACCTTCCATATCTCATTGTATCAAATGATCAACTGTGACCTTTTAAAAATAAATATTATATTCATTTTGTATCCCCAGTGCCTAGCACAAATGTCCTGGCATCATTTGGGTTAAAACTTCAGGAGTTTCTTAGACTCTAGAAGCAAGAATTTGAATTATGCTACTGTGTTGCTGAGCAGATATTTGAAGAGCTAGTGTTGGCTCTTGTTATGAATGTATAGCAATAGAAATCATAGCACCAGTGTTTGCGGTGTTTTGTTAAGGGTCAAAATGCTGAGCTTGGCAAGCATCTGAAATACAAATCTTACAAATTTTTCCTAAGTACAGTTCATCCAGGGGATTATATCATCTTTAAAATTTAGAATATTTGGTCTTATAGAAGGAATGAGAAAAGAAGGCAAAGGTGACTTTTACGTTTAATATTATTGAAAGCTTTTCCTTTTGTTCTTATAACTGACACTATGACACTCTTTCATATTTGATTATGCTTTTGAATCTTTTCCAGAACTCTTCCATTAGAGATTAATTCCCAGAAAAAACACATAGTGTTTAACTATGTTTTCATTTTGACTACATTTCATCCAATTATTTTCTATGGTTTTAATTGAAAATTAAGGGAAAAAAACCAGTTGGAAAATGAATGTTTGTTTACATAAAAGAATTCTTAGAGTTTCTTCAGACTTCTAATTACAGATATATGGCAGACTAGGTCCCCCGATTGACCCTTCCGTTGAAAATAATATTGCTGGATGACATATTTATAAACTAATTATTACATGTATTGATTAGGAGGTGAATGTAATGAAAATGCAGGCCAAAAACAATGGGAAGGAAGAAAGCCAGAGAGGAAAGTCAAGAAGGGAAACCAGCTTTTATTTTGAAAGTACTTGCTGAATTTGGTGATTTGGAGGATCTGTTTTTATAGCCACCAAAGTCTAAAGGAGCAGGGGACAAGCCCCGGGACTGCTCAAGGTGCAGTGTCTATTTGGGACATATAGGACAAAAGGGCTACTACCCTTTTCAGTGTAAAATGAACTAAGAATAAGGACTTTAATTTGATATAGGTTTCTTTGAGAACCTACTTAATGATAAAATGTTTTAGCATATTATTTAAGATTTAGAACAAGACAATAGTTCCTGCTCTCGTTTCTTTTCAGCATAACATTAGATGTCCAGTTCAGTGTACTAAGGTAAGAAAAAGAAATAGGAGATATAACAATTGAGCAGAATAAATGAAAGTCTATTTAGTGATAATATGAATATGAATCTAACTGCAAATTATTAAAATTAATGGTAGAGTTTAACAGTGTTGCTAGACACATATCAATTTAAAAAATTGTATATCTATGCCATAACCAAATAGAAAAAAAAATTTTTTTTAAAAAGCTTCAAAAATACAAAATATTGTAGAATAAATATAAATAAAACTCATACTAATGCCTACCCGCTTGGAAGGTTCAGACTCTGGAAATTTCTTGCACTTAGGGTTTCAGTCCTTATCACATTGCTACTAGAACTTTTTGTCCTCAGGAAAACCCTCATTCATCCTGCTTATCACTCACAGCTTCCAGCTTTCCACTCCAACTTCTGTTTGTCACTTTTTAGGGATGAAATTGGGTTGTACTTGTACATTTTCCCTGATTCCTACCAAGCCTAGTGGAATGTTCCCCTAGAGTAAATAGTCTGCCATAGTGTAAGTTGAAACGAAGTGCTTTTCTACTACAGATAATAATATAAAATTAGTAAAACATATGTCTTTTGCGTTACAAGTAAAAACTTCAGACTGTTCCTTGTATTGTTTTAGTTGCTCAGTTATGCCTGACTCTTTATGACTATGGGCTGCTGCCTGCCAGGCTTCTCTGCCCATGTGGTTTTCCAGGCAAGAATATTGGAGCGGGTTGCCATTTCTTTCTCCAGGGGGTCTTCCCACAGCTCTTGCCACTTCTTCTGCATTGCAGGTGATTCTTACCTCTGAGCCACTAAGGAAGCCCTGTTGCATGTGATGCTATTCTGTGCTGTCCTTAGTTGCTCAGTCCTGTCTGATTCTTTGCAACCCCATGGCCTGTAGGCCACCAGGCTCCTCTGTCCATGGGATTCTGTAGGCAAGCATACTGGAGTGGGTTGCCACGCCCTCCTCCAGGGGATCTTCCCAACCCCAACAAACCCAGGTCTCCTGCCTTGCAGGCAGATTCTTTACCATCTGAGCCACCAGGGAAGCCTGTTGTGTGTGATAGTGGTTATTTATTCAATAGAAATATCAATTATTTCTTCTCTGTGCCAAATTAATGTGAAGATTAGGTTCCTTTCTCAAGGAGCTAATTTTTTCATGAAAAATTTCTCAAGCTTGTCTAGTCATAAGAATCACCTGTGATAACTGCAAAATAAATGCAACTCTTTAGTACCCTTTTCTGGAGATTATGATTCAGTAGGGTGGGTTCTGGAGTTGATCAGATATCATATATAACTAAATTATTTCCTTCAGCTTTCAAATCAAGGAAGAAGTAACTTACCTTATTGAAATAACTTGCTTTAGAAAAACTTTTAAATTTTGTTTCTAATGGTTCTTATGCTTTTCTTAAATGTGTTACTGTTTGATTCGTAAGATCAAAGCCATATTCTTTGAAAAGTGTTGATTAACTCTGAGCTTTATATTTTCAAGCTTATAAGCATATTGTCATCTCAAAATGTTATTATAAAAGTGTTCTTATTTCTATTTTCAGCATTGCGGGGGGTCGGATACTCTCAGTGATAAAGATGCAGCTGATTAAAGGCCAGAACAGCAGGGATCCTTTTTATAAAGCAGTAGAGGAAGTTGCTCAAGATTTGGATTTGAGGATTAAAAATATTATCAATTCTCGACAAGGAGATGTAGCTCTTAGTACCACTGACATCAGTCCTGCACGGGTAATGAGGTTTTTATTTTTTATTATCCTTCTATACAAAACATTATCTTTTCTAGTGGCTGTAGAAATGATTTACTATTGCTACTTAAGTCAGAAGAATGTTTCCTCTGTTATAAGATGATGTTGAAAATGTAAGTTTCTCAATAGGATTATGCAGGATTATGTTCAAGTTGGGGAAATCATAACATCTATGGGACAAATTATCTCTGTTTATCAAAGGAGGGCACTGGATAATCTTCAGCATCCCTTGTAGCACTAGAAATTTATAGTTCTTGAGGGATATTAAGGTGTTTTGTCATATTTTTCAATAATTATTTTTACAGAACAATTATTTACTCATTTACTCAGATGTGAAAGAGTGGTTTCTCTGGTTATGATCCCAGGGCTAGGCACTCCATAGAAAAACCACAGAAATGGATTTTATTCAGCAGTTTATTTTTCTTCTATAGAATTTTTCTGTTTCCATGATCTCTTATTTTCTGTCTCTGTTGCCAGTTTGCTGCTAATATTAGGAATTTTTCCTATACTTAGTAATCTTTTAATTATATGTTCCAGAAAATTTACCTTTTTCTTGTTTTTTTTTTTTTTAACATAGTCAAACATTATCAGGTTTTGTAAATATAGTTTTATAGGAGAAATTGACTACTGTGTTTTTAATTCTAAAACAGAATTTTGGAGTATGTGTTACAATAATTCATTTGTTGCAATTTAACTGTTCAGGTAACAAAATCCTCTTTTCCTTAGGTGTAATTGTGATAGCCTGTGTATGAAGGAAGACTTTCACCTAATTTCTGTAATTCATTTGTTTATCTCCAGTCCTTGTGCACTATTTTTAGCTGTTTTCTGTAACAATGCATGCTTTCAGTTTAATTTGGAGGCAGGATAGATTCTGGGTTGTTTCCCATGTATTTTGTGTGTGTTAACTCTTCCTATGGCTAACTTGGCTCAAATGACAATCAGGTTTTGTTATGTCAGGAACTATCACAGTGCAGATATGTAAGAGCATCAGTCTCTGCCATTTCCTATCACAAGAAATAAAGATGTAGACAACTTGGTTCTTAATTTCATGTTTTCATCCAAACTGAAAATCTTTGAAAAATATAATTCTATCATTCTCAATGAAATTAGTACTAAACAGTATGTACTTGTTTGGTACCGATGATAAATGTATATTAAGCACCAGTTTTTGATAGGCAGTTTGTTAAAATTCTGGTGTAGCTGTATGTTACAGTTCACTTGGTAGCCTAAGTCAGCCAAGTAGAGAAAGGAGGCCAAGACCATGTTGATAAAACTTGAAGAAAATGGTACATCTATAACAGATGACCCCGAAAGGGCAACTTTTGCTATTTAAGCACAATGTCCTGCAACCCTCTGGTTAGGCACTATCATTATCCCTATTTTACCTGTGATTTAACTGAAGCACAGTGAGGCTGAGAAACTTTCCCAGAGGTTTACAGCACACACGACTAGTTAGTTGGTATGAACTCAGCCAGAAATGGCATCAAAGTTTGTTCATAATGTGTATCTGTGTGCAGTATTATCATATGTTTTCCCTATTCTTCTGTCTAGTTACTAAGTTTTTCCAGCTCTCCCCTTTTAATCTACTATTTCTTTATCTCCATTGCTACTGTTTTAGTTCACTGCTACCACCTTCTTCATTTCTGAGCTGGACTATTACAGTCTCTTAATTTGTGATCCTGTGTCCCAGGTCGCTCAGTAGTAAAGAAACTTCCAGCCAAGCGGGAGATGTGGGTTTGATCGCTGGGTTGGGAAGATCTCCTGGAGAAGGAAATGGCAGTCCACTCCAGTATTCTTGCCTGGAAAATCCCATGGACAGAGGAGCCTGGCGGGCCACAGTCCCCGGGGTCACAGAGTCGGACACAAACTTAGCAACTGAGCGCACATGCATGCCCCGTGTGTAATAATAGTCTTACCCCGGAATATATTTATACATTTCCTTCATTGCCATCTCTTTTCTAAAATGTAAAAAGTATCATTTTATTTCCTTTTTTAAATAAAGTAAGAGGTTTTAACTTTGTAACAAACTGACTTGTAACTTCTTTGTCTGATATACAAAGCTTTCCCAGGCTCATCTCACATGACTCTGTCATCTCACGTGACTCTCTGTTACCCTTCTTTGCTACCTGGTCACTGAAAATACCATATTCTTTCTTACCCCTGTGTGTCTCCTCTGTGAAACCATCCCTGATACGAGGGTAAATTGGTGTGCTTCTTTTGGTGTGCTCCCACTGCATAAGGTATACATGGTCTTCAAAATAGCACTTGGCACTCTGTAATGCCTTTATTGGTTACTTATTTATTTTGTCAAAGAGACTATAGATCCTTTGAGGCATTGGTTTTTACCTTTCAAACACAGGTCTTGGGACTTAGGATGTATTTATGGGTGATACTGAAAGAGTGAAGGTCAGCTAGTCTTTTTATTTTTGCATTTGAGTAGATCTTTATAACCATCTGTGGGGTTGACTGTATCACCAGATACCAGATCACCAGAATCCCACTTCTGGTATAAGAGAGAAAAAATAAACAGATTAAGTCATGTGGCTGAGGTCACATTTGTTGTTGTTCTGTCGCTCAATAGTGTCCAACTCTTTGCGACCCCGTGGACCGCAGCCCCCCCCAGGCTTCCCTGTCTTTTACTATCTCCCACAGTTTGCTCAAGCTTAAGTCCTTTGAGTCAGTGATGCCATCCAACCATCTCATCCTCTGCAGCTCCCTTCTCCTCCTGCCTCCAGTCTTTCCCAGCATCAGGGTCTTTTCCAATGAGTTGACTGTTCACATCAGCTGGTCAAAGTATTGGAGCTTCAGCTTCTGCATCAGTCCTTCCAATAACTATTCAGGGTTGATTTCCTTTAGGATTGACTGCTTTGATCTCCATGCTGTCCAAGGGCCTCTCAAGAGTCTTCTTCAGGACCACAATTCGAAAACATCAATTCTTCAGTGCTCAGCCTTCTTTCTGGTCCAGCTTTCAGATCCATACTAGACTACCAGAAAAACTATAGCTTTGACTATATGGACCTTTGTCAGCAAAGTGATGTCTCTGCTTTTTAATATGCTGCCTAGGTTCTTCATAGCTTTTCTTCCAAAGAATAAGCTTCTTTTAATTTCATGGCTGCAGTCAATGTCTGTGACTTTCTTTGTGGCCCAAGAAAATAAAATCTGTCATTATTTCCATTTTTTCTCCATCTGTGCTATGAAGTGTTGGGACTGGATGCTGTGATCTTAGTTTTTTGAATGTTGAGTTTTAAGCGAGCTTTTTCACTCTCCTCGTTCACCTTTATCAAAAGGCTCTTTAGTTCCTTTTCACTTTCTGTCATTAGGGTGGTGTCATCTGCATATCTGAGGTTATTGATACTTCTGACAATCTTGAGTTCAGATTTTGATTCATCCAGTGCAACATTTCGAATGGTGTACTCTGCATATGTTAAATAAACAGGACGACAATATATATATATAGCCTTGACATAGTCCTTTCCCAGTTTTTCAACCAGTCCGTTGTTCCGTGTCCCATTCTAACTGTCCTGTTCTTGACCTGCATAAGGTTTCTCAGGAGGCAGGTAAAGTCATCTGGTATTCCCATCTCTAAGAATTTTCCACTGTTTGTTGTGATCCACACAGTCACAGGCTTTAGCGTAGTCAGTGAAGCAGAAGTAGATGTTTTTCTGGGATTCTTTTGCTTTTTCTATGATCAGCAGATGTTGGCAATTTGATCTCTGGTTACTCTGCCTTTTCTAAATCCAGCTTGTGCATCTGAAAGTTCTCGGTTCACATATTGTGAAGCTTAGCTTAAAGGATTTTGAACATTACCTTGCTCGGTCACATAAATTGTAGTTAAACTTTTTGACGTAAAGCCTAGTGTTATTTTGTCCAAAATCTAATGTCTTCATTTGATGATATTATTTTCTATACTTTTTGGTGCTTCTGGAAGCTCATAAGGTAGATTTTAATATGGTTCGAGGGAGAAATATTCACAAGCCTTAGAGCCACTTCTCGTGGCTGATTTTTTATAGCTTAATAGGAGAGGAGGGATAACAATAGCACATGAAATGGAAAAGAATGGTTGATTGACCCAGCTGGGGTGATTAATACATTTGCTTGAAATTATTTCTTGTTCTAGCCCAAATCTCATGCCATAAACCATGGCACTGCATACTGTGGTAGAGATACTGTGAAAGCTTTACTAGTTCTTTTGGATGAAGAAGCAGCCAGTGCTCCTACCAAAAACAAAGCAGAGCTCTTGTTGATGATGAAAACACAGTTCATCCTAATGGAACTTCTGTTCTTACACTTTTTGGGTAAGTAATGTGGAAGTTATATGTGTGTGAATGTTAGGTCTATAAAGGAAATTTTTGAAAAAGCACCTCATTGGTTATAAAAGAAGTATATGCTATTGTAGGAAACTTGGGAACTACAGAAAAAGTATGAAGAGAAAAAACAAAAGTTAGTTAAAGGGAGATTGAACTTTTGAATGTGAGGAAGTCATATATAAAATAGTATTTTTTGAGATTATGACCAGTAATTTTTGTTTCTTCGTTCTTGTTTTTTGTTTTGGAAATATTTGTTTGCTAAGATATTTGTGTCAAAAACATTGCTGAATGCTTTCACTTGTATCAGCCTTCACGAGAGTCTCCTTTAGTAGTATCCCCACTTTATAAGTAAAGAATTAGACTTGAGAAAGATAGTAAGCAATTTCTCTGAGTTAGCAAGTGGCAGAGGTGTCCTTCTGCAGAACCTGAGGTCTCTGCTCCAAGGATTGTGCTGTTTTGCCTGAGGATAGGAGAGTTGGTATACTCCAGACTCGCACTGGAATTGGCATTTACCTATTCTTCCTCACATTAGGAAGAACATAGTAAATTACCTTTGGTGTTCTGTACAAGACATTATGATCCTCTCCAGTTTTAACAATTTAGTCAAAACACTGAGTAAGTTGGTGATATTTTACTTAATGAATATTCATTTATAGAAACATTTAAAATTTTAGAACAACCATTTAAAATTGTATTTAATACATTGTGAAGGATTTTTATAAAATTAACCTGTTTGATCTTTTCTATTTTCTGCTTGAACTACCTTTTAGAAATCTGACTTTCATCCAAAATTGTTCAGATCCATCCATGACTGCTTTATGCTCTTTCTCCTGTGCTTCACTGTCTTTTCTCTTGAAAGACTAACTTCATGATTCTCTGTCATTCAATGTTGTCTTTTAATTCCTTTACAATAAAAGTTTATTTTATCAGTAATTTACTTATACCCTGTGGTGGAATCCCAGAGAACAGTATAAAGAAAATGAACCTTATTTTTTTTTCCCTCCTGTTAATTTACTTCTGTTTAACAAAGCTTGCTTTTAGGTAGAAATATTAATGGTTTAAGTTTTCTCTTAGATTGAATTATGTGGTTTTCTAAGAAAAAGTTATTTTGTGTTGATAGGATTTTCTATAAAATTAATCCCCATATCCATTTTAAAGAGATACTTTTCTTTACTCAGTCATGTGGCCAAACACATGTTTATAGTTACCTTAGCATTTTCAGTTGTCATTGTGCAGACAAGCACCAGTCCATGGTGTGTGTGTGTGTGTGTGTGTATGTTAGTCGGTCAGGTGCGTCTGACTCTTTACGACCCTGGAACTGTAGCCCACCAGGCTCCTCTGTCCCTGGAATTCTCCAGGCCAGAATACTGAAGTGGGTTGCCATTCCCTTCTCCAGAGGATCTTCCCGACCCAGGGAATAAACCCGGGTCTCCTGCATTGCAGGCAGATTCTTTACCATCTGAGCCACTAGGAAATAATGGTCTGCATTGAAATGTTAAAATTAAGGACAGTGTGTATGAGTGTAAGTGAACGTAGTGTTATAAACTAGTCTTTCTTATAATAGACTATCCTTTATTCTTATATAATGGTCTTTTGACTCTAAGGGGTTATGACTCTGGCTCTATTAAGCTAAAAATGGATTTATTGAGGAATCCAGGTTTGTCTGGCTCCAAAGTGCCCATGTCTACTTCTCTATTGTGTCTTCCCTGACCCTCCTATTTCTAAACTATGTTTTTCTCTTTTGAATTTCCCTGCTATGGCATCTGTCCTTTTTTACTTTGAATTTTAGTTATGTGTATATCTTATTTCGCTGACTTAGATCAAGATTCCTGAATTCAGAGTCAGTGAATGAGTGAACTTTCTGTTCTTCACCACATCTTATACAGTGCCTTACATATAGTAGAAGCTCAAGTGTTTAGTTACTGAACTAATTAATTAAGCAAATTATTAGTATTTAGAACTCTTAGAATAGGAATATGAACATTTTTATATAGTATTGTAAACCACTAGGTTCAGAATAAACTTTTATTCTCTAACTGTTTTCAGGTAGAGGAGAGGTGAAAACAAATTTAAAAGCTACTTTGGTTTGTAAATTTTTGCTTTTTTTGGACCTAGCTCTCCCACACAAGTGGATAATTCATCGATGAAACCCTTAAGAGAACGCATCCATAAGTCAATGGAAGAGAAAAAAATCAAGGTACAATTTAATATACTATCATGAAAATGATAAAAATTTGTTTTGCTTTTAGAAGAAATAAATATATAAAGCTGAGCTGGATATTATACATATAAATTATACATGGAACTATAGGGATTAAATAGAAAATAAATTATGACAGTTGATATACAGAAACTTTCCTTTTAATTCAATCTTGGCTAATCTGTCTCTGACATATTCAATACCCTGGACCTAAAAGAAGGAAACGAATAAGCACCTGCTATGGTAAGTGCTCAATAAATATCTCTTCAGTGAATGAAGGGGAAACTAAAGAGAACATGGTTTTCTCATTTACATTTCTGATATCTTAAACTGAGTCTTGAGAGTCTGTGTAGTTTCAATTTTGTTCCTGTCTGAAGACATAATGGCAGAATGTAATTGATTGTAGGTTGAGACAAGGAAAACATTTCACATTGTTCATTCACTAAAGCTATTCTTAATATTTCATTTAGCATCCCTGTTCACATATGAAACATTGTTCCTATATGTAGTTAATAACATGTTTTTAGGCATTTAAATTTTTCTTAATTTTTTTCTCAAAAAGAAGCTCATTTTTAACTCATTTATTCATTTAATATATGTATTTATTGAGTATCTGCTATATGCCAGACACTGTTCTGTGGTTGGGAATTCATTCATTTAACAAAATTTTCATGTAAAATTTACAATTATCCTTAAATTATCAAATAATTATTCATCTCTTAATAAAACTTGAGAACTCTAATTTGTTCTTTATATTCACATTTGGCAAGTTAGTCCCAGTTCATAAAACTTTTAGTTATCTGTTTCATCTACATACTGCAAATTCATTTAGTATATTTAGATTAATAAGCCTGATCTTTCTATTGATTATTAGTAGCTGTTAGTAATTAACATCTATGGAATACCTCAATACCTCATTGAGTTTTGCATAATTTTTCTTAGGGAAAACTTTCCAATTCTTTGTTAACCCAAGTACTTATAGCCAAGGCATAAGATTTTTGAAAAACAATCTATCCTTTGGACTTGATTAGAAACAGAAATGTAACAAGTTCTTTTTTTTTTTTTCCATTTATTTTTATTAGTTGGAGGCTAATTACTTTACATCATTGCAGTGGTTTTTGTCATACATTGAAATGAATTAGCCATGGATTTACTGTAACAAGTTCTTTAATTTTTCCCTTCTATAGATAATGACAGACTTTAATATTTTCGTTTAAAGGTCATTGGGATATTTTGTTAAACTAAGTAAATCAAAATGAGACAATCTACCTGAAGAAAGAGAAGGTTTTTTAGAAATTGATGAGTCAACTAATTGCTATAAAATTTATTAACCAATTTGTAAAATTCGGGAAATAGGAAACAGCTTATCTGATCCAGTCTTATTTATAGATGAGGAAATCAAAATCCTTGAGAAAGCACCTCATCCAAGACATCATAACTACCAGGACATATTTTATGCCATTGTGTGAAGCTATGGATAAGGACTAATGAGACTGTAGTTACATTGCTTTTGTTACTTAATAGTGGAGCGGGCTTAGTCTACATAGCTCTGAAACTAAATGGCAATAGAGAAAAGAAGGAATTGGTGTTTATGGTTATATTTTATAGTACAGTACTCTTTATGAAAGCAAAGTGTGAAAATAATTGGTTTAGCCAGGTATATAGCTGAACCATGGCCAGGTTGAATACTTGCTGGAATAACAAAAAAATGCTGCTAATATTTACTACTGAGTAACTATGGAAAAGTAGTTTAACAACTTTTATTACTTTATTATCCTGTTACTTTTTCTCTTTTGGTATTTAGTTCTTTTCTTTTAGCCGGAAAGAATTTACAATCTATACTTGAAATACTGTCTTGGAAAGACAACGGTAGATAATATTAGAGAACTTAGAATTTTGATGTAGATCATACTTGATTGTGAAATATCCATGTCATTACTATTTGGGGCAAATTAACTTGACTTGGATTTTCATTTCCTTGTTTATAAATAGCAGTAGGCACTCCTGATCACAAAATCCTATGAAACCACTTTGGAAAGTGTTCATTAACTCATTTTAAGTGCTCTTTTCTTTTCCTACTGTACCTTATTTGGAAAATTGTCAATGATGGTCAAATAAATTCCCCTGTGAAGGAAATTAGAAGGTTCTTCCTGAACCTTCATGGTTTTGGTAGGAACCTTTAGAGAATGCTTTCTCCCCATTCTTACTGCTAGTTTCCAAGTCGTTTATACAAGTACCTTCATACTTTTTCCTTACAGTATTTTTTAGAGAGATACTTACCTTCTTAGATTCTTGTAAATTAATTAGTTTTGTTCCTTCCAGCTTGATTTAGCAGTATTTTGCTTATCAGATGCAACTGAAAAGTTGTCTATACATCTCTTTTCCTTATTCTCGGTCTAGTATTTTCCTTCATATTATACCTATGTCAGAATAATCCTGAGCGTTAACGAAATAGCTTAAGTCAGCAGGTCAGAAAAACACTGGATCTTTAAAGCTTGGCATAGTTGGGACAGTAAAAATTAGGATAGGTAGCGTGAAAAAATAGGCTGGCTCTAACTCTAGTACCTTTATAAGCAGCCAGCAATAGAATGCTCATGGCATTAGGAAATCAGATGTCCACGTTTAACCTTTAGATACTTGAAAACTGAGTATATACAAATTAAAATGGTGGATGGAGTTCAAGTCATAGAATTTCCCTCCCCAATACTTAAAATGAGTACAGAATAGCAAAACCTAGTAGAAATATTCACCAAAAGCAAACAACAGAAAATAACATAATTGGATACTGTAAACTTCAAAAATGATGGCTAAGCAAGGAAACTGATTTCAGAGGGAAAAGGCACAACATGATTTAGCAGCTTAATCTAGCTCCAGTGTCCATATATAGTGTGCTAGTGAGTTGACAAAGTCCTGAGAATTATCACTGAAATATTTCCAAAACTGAGAAGCCAGCTAAGTGTGTGGTGTTTTTTGTTTTTTTTCCTTTTTAGAGAAATAGTAGAAGTGGCAACTGCATAGTAATGTGGAAAATGAACTCTGGAGTTCACACATTGACTCTTTGGAGGCTGTAGTGCTGCATACTGATTTGTGGCAATTATCCAAATGATCACCTTCCATTTGAATGAAATACAGACTCTAAGTAGAGGGACTTTTTCTAGTACAGATGATACATAATAAATTCTTAGAAGAAAGTGCAGAACCAACCCAGACATTTTTTCAGGTGATCTGTCTCCTCTATTGAGCATACTTCTACCTCCATCATTCTTCAGGCTACAGAAAAATGGGGGATAACAGAAAATATGCAGCCTTCAAAATGTTATTGAAGAGAAAGTAAAATGCCTTCAAGGAGGGAACAGAATCAAGAAATCACAGACTTGGAGGCTTCTGTTGCTAACTAGGATGTAGTAGATCATCACAAAATACCATTTCTGTTACAGTAACAAAATCAAAGGCAGACAAGTTGGGGAAAATATATTTAAAAGACATAGGAAAGCTATGTAAGCAAAGCAGTTTAAATAAACGAAAAATCTGGAGAGGGTAAAGTTCTTCTGAGGTGAACAGTCTATTATCAGAGTTTTCTTCTCTGGGATTATTTTTCCAATTTTGGGTATGACCCAGGGATTGCTCTTGGCCCATATAAAGGAACTTCACTGAAGCAAAGAGGAACTAATAAATATTTTGGTGTCTTGAGGGGCTGGCAACAATTTGGAAACACTGGGGCGCTGGATACACACTTATTTTTACCTAGGATACCTATGCTGAATTTTAGAGCTGAGTAGGAAGTTAAGGAGTCTCAGTCCAGTAGACTAAAATCACCTGCGGTCTTGCAGTTGCTCAGAAGACAAGGCTCCACTTGAGGAGTGGGACCTGCTTCAAACACATGGTTGTTGCCTTCTCAAGATATTTGCCACATTTGGAAATGAAGTGGGTTGGGAGACCAAAGAACACAATGTAAAAACCTTTGAAAGACAGAGTCCTTCAACACTTAAAGGTAATTAAAGGAATAGATGGGCAAATTGGATGTAAAATTGGGAAATTCCAGCAGAGAATCATTTTTCTTCTTTTTTTGACCATACCATGCAGCTTGTGGGATCTCAGTTCCCTGACCAGGGTTTGAACTCAGGCTACGGCAGTTAAAACACCAAATCCTAGTTCCTAGACCACCTGGAACTGCTGAGAACCAAACATTTTAAATAAGAACCAAATAGAATTTCCAGAACTGTAAAAACATTATCTAAAATCAATAATTAGGTATATTTAATAGTAAACCAGACACAGCATCAGGTAGCACAAGTGGACATGAAGATAGGTCATTAGAATAATATCTGAACCAGAGCAAGGAGAGAATAAGGAATGCAAAAAAAAAGAGAAGATCAGAACACAGCATGTGCCTCACATATGCCTAATTGGGTCCCCAGAATGAGAGGAGAAAATAGGATTGAAATAGTATTTGAAGATACACAGTTGTAATGTTTTCTGAAGCTTAATTGGCCCTTTCACATCAAGTAGTAGTTAAAGAGGAGAAGGCAATGGCACCCCACTCCAGTACTCTTGCCTGGAGAGGGGAGCCTGGTAGGCTGCAGTCCATGGGGTCGCTAAGAGTCGGACACGACTTGAGTGACTTCACTTTCACTTTTCACTTTCCTGCGTTGGAGAAGGAAATGGCAACCCACTCCAGTGTTCTTGCCTGGAGAATCCCAGAGATGGGGGAGCCTGGTGGGCTGCCGTCTATGGGGTCACACAGAGTTGAACACAACTGAAGCGACTTAGCAGCAGTAGTTAAAGATGGGAGGAACAGATGTATGGCTTCCTTTAATAATGTAAAGCCACATCTTGGTTCCAGTATTATGGACCCAGAAAACTAAAAAATGTCCCTGAGTCTTTTGAAAATCCATCTGTCCTTCATGTATGTGCCATGGGAAGTAGATTGTAAAGCTTTGTTACATAGTAGTGTCCAACAGAACTCTCTGTGGGAATGTTCTGTAGTTTTTGCTGTC